TATTAGAAAGCAGTGTTGAAATATTTCTTGTAAGTGAAATAATGTTTATTTGCCATTATAAATACGCTGGTGAGTAGAAATTGTGATGTGAATTGGGGCATTTACTATGTTGATACTGTAAAATTGAATCGTTCTGACACCTGTTACCGAGAACAGCGGGCACGCAAACTGCCACCGTGTCAATAGTCAGTAGCACTAGGCCAGCGACGATCAGGCAACCTGCCAGGAACGCGAAGAACACGTCCATTGGCCATTTCCTCAGCTGGTTCACCACGCCTTTGATTATCGGTGTTTCCGGCGTGTCCCTGAATCTCGCGTACTGATCACGTCCGTCCGGGTAAAGGAGCGACGCGTCCTCTCCGAAGGGATCTAAGTTTTTAACACAGTCCAAAAACCAAGTCCACTGAACGTTAATTATTGACGCTGGCGAAATGCTTTTTATACAGAAGTTGTAGGCACTGACATCAAAAGACATGACAAGAAAAGTTCTATGAATTTTTCTTCTAACTTCGATATTTAACGAGTTAAATACCGTTAATTGGCATTTTATTGGCACTGACGAAATCCGACCGTCATACCGTCGAAATGATGAACTTTTGGCAAAAAATTTCGTTTTTTCTCAATAACTCCTAAACAGTTTGACTTACGAAAAAATTGCATACGACCTTTTTTGTAGAGGNAAGTAAAAGTTGTAGGTGATACTATTACCTATGAAAAATTTGAAATCACTATAATTTTAGCTTTTTAATAGTAATAGGAATCTATAATAATGTTAATTATGTTATATATAAAAATGTTAACATGTTAGCATTGTTTAAGTATATAGCCCATACATCCTTAAAATTTAAACGATGATGAAATATATGTATCGTATAATGTACATATGTAGAATAATCGACGTTAAAACGATATTTCGTAACACTTGAAACGCATTTGTATAAAAGATATTTTAAGACGATTTTATAGAAATTTAACACGGAGTCTGGTGATTGATTATCGCGTGGCTTCTTCTCGCTCGGACTTACCTTTCGTCTTCGGCATAACGTTGAGATACTTTCGCACTACTAATAATGTCCGTTCTGGTTAATCGCCGGTTTATGCGGTACGTCCGATTCGCCGAGTCAGCATTTCGCAACAATTGGCCGTATTTAAATTGAGTCGCGATTTAACTCGCCCGGGCTGCGCGGTGTTCTTGCAGCATACGAAGTGGAGCATCGGAAAAGAATCGCGTATTTCGGCCGCGTTAAGGTTATTGTATTCGCTTGTCTTCCGATCCTCGACACGTTCAATTCAATCGTCTTGCAAAAATAAACCTCCCCCCTCCTTTTCTGTCTTTGTTATTCTGACATAAATTACCCGTTCGTCTTGGCATACTTTCGGAATTTACGTAGAATTTGTTTACTAAAGTATGCATCATCGATTCTGAGTTTATTATTATAAAAAGCTCCAATTAGAAAATCTTGTGCATTTTTATTTTTTTCATATAGCAATTGTAGGTGGAAATTGAAGAATTATTTTATCCAATTAAAAATATA